ATAAAACTCCAGTAATATTCATTACTACACCAAAGGTTTCAAACAGTGCATCACGAGTCAATAACATATTGTTGTCCGTTTTTGAAACGCTTTCATTAACTTCACTTGTATGTTTGTTTGTAACCGACTCCTTTGGACTCGATTTTGACTAACTTCAAACGGACAGATTTATTTGAAACTTTGTACACTTATTAAGAATCTAAGAATCGGTGACAAGACAGTAATTTCATAAGTTCATCTTGTTATTCTGATGCCAGGATCGCCAGGATTGAATTTCCTTACACAGTATCTGTGTGAGAGCAAGTGGGACAATCATACTATCTGGGCATGCGTATAAATATATTGTTTATCAAAACAAACGGGCTTGAAATAACAAGGCACCCACTTTTTGACCTTTCTGATACGTTTTGAACCATCAACGCCCAGTTCTTCAGCCATCCCACGCACCGTTTGTGATATGTCAATCTCCATCAGGTTCCCCAAATCCTCGTCCTGGATTACTGTAGTTTGACCACTTCGAGACTCAACTTCGAGGCTGAAATTTCTAAAGCGGAATTTTGCAACGGAAGAAGTGAAATACGATTCTTGAATCTTTATAGTCCTGGATGAAATCTTCGAAATCCATCGGGCGCTTGGGACTTTCTCAACGACATCACATTAGCGCATATTCCATTGATTACGATTTGTTTTTTTTTTATTTAAACAAGCTCCGCATAAACCACAGAGGGTTATAAGCGGGGTACATTACAAGTTATAATAGATATATACACACATATATAGATATATACACACATATATACGAACTTCATATTTGATTGTATACATTAATTGTCTTCATAAATTGTATAATTTTCTCCACATTGTTATTCAAATTAAGTTTTATGTTCTCGCTGATGTTCATTAGTTTTCGTTCTTCATTGTAGTAGGGGCAGAGACATGATGTGTTCCACTGTCAACGGTGTATTGCAAAATTTACATAATTTGGGAGTTTGTTTCTTGAATAAATGTTCATGTGTTATTCTGATGTGACCAATCCTCAAACGAGTAATTGTGATTTGATCTCTTCTGGTTAAGTATGAGTAGTTCTGTTTGATCAATTCCGGATTCACTTTGAATAATTTATTTGCGGTTTGCTTTTGCCACCTTTCTGTCCAATCCTGCGAAATTTTCGTTCTAATAAAACTATATAGATCTTCATGATGAACTTTATATATGTTTATCGCTTCAGGGTTCTCAAAGAAGTTACGTGCCACAAAATCTGCCTTTTCTTTACCGAGAATACCAATGTGAGAAGGAACCCATACTATTTCCACCGAACGATTGTCATGATATAGTTCTTGAAAATCAACTTTGATTTGAAGGAGAAGCGGATGCTTTGGGTAAAGTTGACAGCGCTCCGATTTTTCTTCATGTTCCAGGCAACAATCCCTCTTATGTTCAAGAGCCGGGTACTTAGACTTCTCTCTATATTCCCTATATAGGAAGATTTACATCTAGAAGGGATTGGTATGTCTCATGTGTGGCTGAAGTTACTGCAGAGTATTTAGCTGATCTTAAACTCCCTTTGGTAGTTTTTGTTAGCTTGAATATGAATTTCACGTCAAATATATTTAGAATTCTCTCAATGCTGTCTCCAAACGAGCCTGTCAATGGAAAAATTTCCAATTGTCTCCAAACGAGCCTGTCAATGGAAAAATTTTCCATTGTCAGGCTCGTTTGGAGTTGAATTGACATTTTTACTGAACGGTTGCCCATTTGGGTCCATTGCTTCATCGTTTCGTAAGCCATCGCAGTAGTAGATGAAATGTCGTACGTGAAATCCTGCGCAACACAGTTAACAAACTCAAAAAATAGCTTCGATCGAGTCATTTCCAGCAGTTACTAACCGTAACCTATACGACCGTTATTCAACAGAAAATCTTTGCTACTGAATTGTGTGCGGAGTGATTGGTAAAATCCAGGCTCATACTCAACTCAAAGGAAATATTCTCGGACAGTCAAGTTCTTGGCTTCTGCCGAGCAACGTCTGAATTGGTAGTTAATTGCCAAAAACTACTCTACCCAATGAAAAGACCTAACAAGTTGCCTTTGATCTGGATTCCTGACCCTATTGGCCAGGGAGGAAATGAGGCTGCTGACTCTCTTGGAAGGAGGGTGCTGTGAGCAGCTTGATCGGTCCAGAACGCGTCATTAGCATTACTTCAGGTTTTGCCAAACAAACATTGAATACCTGGATGGCAAGAAGATTCAAGAACTCCTAGCGAAATTTTCCAAGGTTGGCTCAACCAAGGCGGTCATTTATCCTTCAAAGCTTGGAACTAAACTGTCGTTCTTGTTGTTGTTGGACTACAGTAGGGATGAACTACGATGTCTAACAGGCCTCTTCACAGGTCACTGTCTTTTGAATCATCATATGCAGAAAGGCGGACTGTCGAAAGACAGTGTGTGTAGCCTCTGTTTGGAAATTGATGAAACAGCAGGGCATATACTTTGTGCCTACCCCACTGCGGACCGAATGAGGTTTTCAGAGTTTGGCAGAGCCGTACTCTTGCCATCTGGCGTGAAAGACCACTCACCATACAAACTAATCGGCTTCGTTAAGGAGCTGGGTTTATTTGGTCGAGTTTGAATAGGAATGAGCCACAATAAACACTTGTGGATTGTGGTGGAGGCTCGAATAGACCGACTCACATTTGACCTAACCTAACCTAACCTGCGAAATGTATGGATATGTATCATCACAAAATCTGCCCAAAAGTAATAAAGGGTATTTGAGAAGAACACCAGAGTCTCTATCTAAAAAAAATTCTTTCGGCAGCAGAATAAAATGTCTAGATATCATATCCAAACTCTATAACGAAATTTAATGTGATATTTTCACCGTGTGTTTTTCTATGCCAGAGCACACAAACATATCTATTTTAGGGTTTTTATTAGACTTCAGCAGATTCTTTATTGATTCAGCTTGGTTCATTTTCCAAATGGTGTAAGATTTTACCCAAAAAAATAACAAGAAATAATAATTTTTCTACAAAATGGAATACAATGATGACTTTTTTATCGATCCCCTTTGATCTTCCATAATCTGAAAATGAATATAAAAATTTGTACTGAAAAACTTCAGTTTACTCCGAACTTTTCAGTTCACCCCGAAATTCTAATGATATTTGTAGTTTTCTTCTTTGGTTCATTTTGTTCTCAAACATCTTTTAAACTAATAATAAAAATCTCATGGAATAGGCAGTGTGTGAATCTCTTGAAAGGAATGAAATAAATATCAGTTCTGAATAATAATGAAACTTTCCTGGCATTTCACAACGCGCTATTGAATTTGATAATTCATTCCCCATGCAAAAAGTCAAAGTCAAAAAAAAGAAAACCATGGATTACAACAGGATTGAAAATTTCTTCGAAAATAATTTCATGGAAAATAGATAGGAATAGATAAGTACTATTTGATCATACCCATATCGATTTCAATTTGAGAGCCACCGGTAGACAGCTGTTTCGGCCTATTGAGCATCGTCAGTACCGGGCAGGCGGTCTTCGATTGAAGACAAAGTGAGAAAAACCAAGAAAGTACTTGATAAAAATAGCTGTGTGAACGCAAGCGAAACATTAGTTGGTTGATTGGTCAAACCACCAACACTGACATAAAAACTTGGCAAGTTGACTTGGGTGTAACACCAATAGGTGGTTCCACTTATGTTCCGCTTGCGTTCACGCAGCTATTTTCATTAGGTACTTTCTTGGATTTTCTCATTTTGTCTTCAATTGCCCACCTGCCCGGTACTGACGATGCCCCATAGGCTGAAGCAGCTGTCTACCGGTGGCTCTTCAATTGAAATCAAAGGGAATGATCAAAAAGTAGTTATCTATTTATTTTTCAATTTTCATGGAATTATTTTCCAGCAGCTTGACTGCATTAACCTTTCTAGATTTTATATCATTCCTAGAAACATGTGGATTCTTTTTCCGATGGCATTTCAGGTTAGCTTCCTTATATTATATATATACAGTGTCACCGATAAAGTTCAAACCACCAACACTGACATAAAAACTT